ATACTTGTGTTTGTCATTATCAAAAAGGGGGAGATTGTTATAACAAGATTTGTTCTTGACATATTCTTTTTTAGTTTTGATGATAACAAAATTATTTGAAGAACAATGGTTTATTTGATGTGTGTTTTATTTATGCAGGTTGTTGTTCATGTGTATAAATAATCAAAATCTATTGTACTTAAGATACACTTGGAGTTGCTTCATTACTAGCTTTTGGTGGAAGAGTCTGAAGAACAATTTCTAGTGTTGTCTGATAAAGACTCTAAATTGAAGGCCTCGACATTCAGACGAGTTTCAACACTTAGTAATTATATATTAGCTTTTGGTACCATTCAGAGTTGGTGATAAAGTTGCGGATTATCTGTACTACTAAAAGCATGTTGGATTGTCTTATCAGCCTATCAGCTTTAGTCTTCAAGAATGCAAGGCTCAATAAAAGATGGTATGTTCTATGGATTTCTTTTCCTAATGACTCTATTAGTATAGAACCTCTTGAAGACTCAAAGGTTAAACGTGTTACACACTGGATCCTGAAATCTGTTGTGCATCCTTTTCAATGTCTCTTGTACTATGGAGCAAAAGCAAAGACACTTGATCAAGTCACCTTCTCAACAACTAGTTTTTGGAAAGGCTATATATGTCGCTGAAGATTAAAATCTGAGTTTTAACAAGGATTCTTGTGTTGAAGGAGTAGTAAGATCAAGCAATTATCAACTCTATGTAATATGCAGATTTTCTGTTTTAGGTTGTAATTGTAAAAGCCTTGAGATTTCCTACCTCTGTAAATATTGAGAATTCTTAAGTACTTTAGGCCCTTGTTATGGTGATCTCCCGTACCTCTGATGCATGACTCATGTATGCCTTGTTCTCTATTCTGCTAAGCCTTCAGTAGTTTAGATTAATTCTCCTACTATGCGTTTAAATAAAAGAAAGTCTTAGACATGTGTTCTAAGCAAAGGAAAGTCTTAGGCATGTGCTCTAAGAAAAGGTAAATCTCTACCCGAAGATAGATGAGTAGGTGGCTCAGTCTGATGGTGTGAGCAAAGGAAATTCTTAGACATGTGATCTAAGCAAAGGGAAGTCTCAACTAGAAGACAGATGAGCAGGTGGCTCATTTAGATGGTGTGAGCAAAGGAAAGTCTTAGAAATTTTCTCTAAGAAAAGGGAAGTCTCAACCAGAAGACATATGAGCAGGCGACTCATTGTGATGGTGTGAGAAAAGGGTAAGTCTTAAACATGCGCTCTAAGCAAGGAAAGTCTCAGACAGTTGGTCTGAGCAGTTGTAAAAGACTTATGTAGAAGCATAAGCGATTGTAATCATAAAGTGGTTATAATGAAAAGCTCTTGTGAGACAAGGGGAATGGACTACTCTCAGTTAGGGGAGGAACTAATATAAATATTTTGTGTCTTCTGTTGTTACTTTATTTACTTCTGCTATATCCGCTGCAATTGAATTGACTCAGAATTTGAACATCAGTTCTGATTCTGAGACTCTAATAAGAAGCTAAATAATAAGAAAACGCGAAAAAAAGTTCAACCCCCATTCTTGTGTAGTTTTCACACCTTCAAGATACACCATAAGATCTTGATCCAATGTGTAACATGTTTAACCTTTTAGTCTTCAAGAGATTCTGTATTGATAGGTCCGTTGAGAGTAGATATGCATAGAACATATCAGCTTTTCTTGAGCCTTGCAATCTATAGACTCTAGCTGACAAACTGATTTGACAATACAACTTGGTTTCTGCAGTACGTACATCTCAACTTTATCACCAACTCTGAATGGTACGAGAGTTCAATTTATATTCACTAAGTGTAGAGACAATTATGTTGCTTCTTCTGATGCTGAGACCTTTAGCTTCAGAATCTACACCAGACATCACTTAGCAAGTGTTCTTTAGATTCTGCCACCAGAAGCTAGCAATTCAACAGCTCTCAAAGTGTGTTTAATCTAGAACAGATTCTGACCATAATATTTACAAGTATAAGAACCTGCATAAGACACATCAAATAAACCATTGTTCTTCCGATACCTTGTTTTTGATCAAAACCCAAGAAACATATGTCATGAACAAATCTTGTGAGAAGGGGTGAGAATGGAGCTTTCCTACCCTCACTCTGAGTATTTTGTACACAAGACACTTAGCTTGGTTGTTTTAAATATTCGCCTCTACCCATATCCTTTAGTGCAATTCAAATAAAAAATAATCTCTTTTCAAAAACCCTAAAATAAAAATCAACTCATCAAACTCTTTAATGCGCCTTTGGGAGTCATCTCAAAAACCCTTTTTCATGGTAAAATCAATCAACACACACTTATTTTCTACCCCGAACTAGGAGCTTTGATTTCTTTATTGCATTATGAGGATATGTAGGCACGAGATTGCGAGATCTATGCAAGCACACTAATAAAAAGAAACCTTTTTCCCCAATAACAAGTAAACCTTTAGATAACGACAATCTTTCGCGCTTAGACAACCTAGATGGTTCTTGTTGAGTACAACATATGTGAGGGGTGCTAATACCTCCCTTTTACATAACCGACTTCCAAACCCGAATTTGGTTGCGAGACCATATTCTACACCTTTTCGGGGGGTGTTATCGATATTTTCCCTTTCCTCTGGAATAAATAAAGTTCGGTGGCAACTCTGTAAATTGTTTATGTAGCGACAACTGTATGAAGAGATTAGGTTTTGTAGTGTCTACTCTTAATAGTGGACTAGTTATCAATACTCTAGATAAGGGTTGGTGACTACATTTTTAATCTTCTTGAATTTTCCTCCGTCAATCTATGATAGAGACTTTGGTGTGGACTTATTTTGTCTTCCACTAAGTGTTTCTAGTACTAGACCTGTTTCTATGGCACCATACAAAATGTTAGCATCAGAGTTGGGAGAACTGAAGAATCAGTTGAGAGACTTACTTGAAAAGAAATCTATTAGACCAAGCATGTCACCTTCTGAGCTCCAATGTTGTTGGTAAAGAAGAAGGATGGTAGTATGCAACTACATGTTGATTATCGGCAGTTGAATAAAGTGACGATTAAGATCAAGTATCCACTTTCGAGAATCGAATATTTGATGGATCAGTTGTTAGGAGCTTTTGTGTTAATAAAAAATTATTGGAGTTCAGAAGACTATGTTTAGAACTTGATACAATCATTACAAATATTTAGTGATGCCTTTCGGAGTGTCGAATGCACATGATGTGCTTATGGAGTATATGAATCATACTTTTCATGCTTATCTTGATCGGTTTTTCGTAGTCTTTATCGATGATATTCTAATTTGTTCTAAATCAAAAGAACATGCAGGGTATTTGAGGGTTGTATTACAGGTTTTAAAAGAGAATAAATTATTTACAAAGTTATCAAAGTGTAAGTTCTGGTTGCAAGAGGTGATTTTCCTCAGACATGTTATTTCTGGTAATGGCACTGTAGTGGATCCATCCAAACTAGTCGAAGTTCTACAATGGGAGGCTCCTAAATCTGTTATAGAGATCAAACGTTTCATGGGCTTGACAAGTTATTATTGTAAAGTTTATCGAAGGGTTCTCAAATTTATCCATTCTATTAACTCATTTGACTCGAAAGTGTCAGCCATATGTGTGGGATATTCATTGTGAAAAGAGCTTTAGAGAGTTAAAGAAAAAGTTGACTACAACTCCAACTTTGATTTTTATAGATCCTCACAAACCGTTTGTAGTATAGTGTGACGCTTCTAAAATGGGTTTGGGCGATGTGTCAATGGAAGACGGTAAAGTGGTGGCTTATGCTTCACGATAATTGAATGAGAGGAAGAATCATACTCATGATCTAGAGTTGGCAAAAGTGGTATTTGTATTGAGAATTTGGAGGAATTATCTTTATGGTTCAAGATTCGAAGTTTTTAGCAACCATAAGAGTTTAAAGTATTTTTTTGGCCAAAAGGAGTTGAATATGAGGCATAGAAGATGGTTGGAATTTCTAAAGGACTACGATTTTGGCTTAAATTATCATCTAGGTAAAGCTAGTCTTCTGGCTGATGCTTTGAGTCGAAAGTCTCTACATATGTTGGCATTGATGATTAGAGAGTTAATCTCATTAAGAAGTTTAATGGTTTGTGAATTGACACTGTCATACCCCAAAATTTGCCCTACCCTTTTCATTTTTATCTGACTTTTGGTTTAAGATTCATCTGCATACATTTGTGCCAATGACATGTAACCATTCATTCACATTAACATTTTCAAAATAATCATCATGGATTCAAAGGTTTGTGGTATATATGCTCAATAAGAAACTAGGGTTTTCCATGCTTCAAGCCCTAAGGACCTTGATGATAGTAGTCAACTAGTAACCCTAGTTTTGATTCATGACCATTGTGGAGCATTTGGTTTGGATTTGATTACAGGGACCTATTTCTTGTTTTAGGATCTTTGATTAGGTGGTTGACCTATTGATCTTGGATTCAATATGAAACCCTAATTACAGATGCTTGACATTGGGTCATTATAATTGCATCATGCCATTATTATTTGGGGTCATTCATGAAGTTTGATTTTGGGCTTTGTTATTCGAGTTTTATTCAAGTTCATAGTGCATTTAAAGCTCATTGATTCAAGGAGAATTCAAATATATAGTTGGAGGGAAACTTCTATGTAAAATTAAAGCACATTTTCATTAAACCAAAAGAGCTATTTTTCATCAAAATTAACCATTACATTCAAATCCCATTTACAAGAGTTAATACAAAATTACAAAAGGAAATTTGACTTTGACCTACAGTTGATTTTGGTCAATCAATTGACCAAAGTCAACTAACCTAATCTCTAGTCCTTATTCTAATTTCCCTATGGTCTTCACTCTTCCATATTTTTACTTGACTTCATGGCCAAGCTTTCTTCATTTGCATACAAGTCATGTTTTTTTTCCTTATGCCATCACCTTGACTTTCATGATAGCTTTACTTCAAGCATCCTTGAAATCTTAACCAAACTCCAAACTAAATCATCCTTGCACATTACCAGTAGCCTGCAAAATGCACCAAAGTATCAATGAATCAAGTTCGTTTCATGAAGTGTTCAAGAAGGTATCAATATTAATTTGTGCATCAATGCAAACCATCCATCAATGCATATCATGCTAATCATCAATGCATATCTAATTATTCATTTTTCTTGTTAACAATCTAATCATCTTTTTGATCATTAGGCATAGGTTTTAGCTAACAAATCATTAACATTAACTACTCATATCAAGCATACAACAATGGTCATGGCACTATTATCACGCATCACATTATAACATCCCAACAAGTAATCACTAATAGTGAATAACAGGTTCATTAACAAACAGCAAGCAATGCCCACATACACTAGCAGTTCAGGTACTTAGCTGTTCACATACAAGACCAATGCCCACATACAGTTCAGGTACTTAACCTTAAGTGGATCAGCAACAACTCAGTCTACAAGGCATGCTAAATTGGTTTCTAAATTACCTTCACATAAGCTACATTTTAAACACTAACAACTTTAGCAATTAACATGCTAAATATGACCAATAGCACAATCATTTCATTCACAAATCAGTTTTCAGGCAATAGTAGTTTCATACAGTTTTCAAAATTCATAACAGTTAAGAATAAGTCACGATTTTGTACTACAATGGGGCATCATCAACTAATTGCCACAAAAATTCTGTCATGATTTCATGTCTGATCATTACTCACTTTTAATAGCCCATAGCAGTCCATAAAAGAATTTCATAATTGAATTTATTCTCACATTGAAGCTCTGAAACAACAAGAACTGAACCTCTCAGTTTCTGAATCTCTATCCCACAATTCAATCTTTATTTTGTACTCTCTCCTTACAACATAGAACGCGCAGCAACAATAACCAGAAGCATACAAGAGCAACGAAGGAGCAGAAGAAAAGGGAAGAAGAAGATTCATACCTAATTCGAACAAGAAGAGCAAAGTTTACCTGATGAAGAAGAGGACCTCTGGACTTTCTTTTCATCAGCATTAATCATGAGTGAGTGAGAATTGGGAAAATATATTGATAGATTTGGGTAGAGCAGATCATGATGATTAGATTGGTGGTGGATTTGTGGTATGGCATGCTCCGCCGCCACTGACGAAGAGCTCTGGTGCGGTGGAGTTGTTTGCTCCGGCATTGAATTTGAACATGGTGATAAGTTTGATCACGTGAGGGAAGATATTAGCATGTGAAGACTAACTTGTTGATGTCTTCATACACCTCGGGCTTATTCTCCCTAAAGCCCACTTGATTTGCTTCTTACATCCCAACAAAAACTAGTTCATCCCCTGATCTCTCTTGTCAGCGCCGTGGGCTTGGAACCTCTCTGGCCGATCCAGATTCTCTCCCTACACCCATGCGGACAACTGACACCCTAGGGCCATTGCTTGTTTTTTCCTTGGGCCTTTGAGCCCACCAGGTTGCTCTTGGCACCCCTATTCTAGCCAACACCCCTATCTCTCTTTTATTTTCTTATTTTTCTTTATATTTTTTTTTCACTTTTTCATTTATTTTAATCCTTTGGTTTTAAATTTGAATAAAAAGGCTCAAATAATAATAAAAGAGGAATTAGGTTGTTTTTTAGTCATTTTAGGAAAATAATAAAAAATAGTAATGTGCATGTTTAAAATTAATCATTAGTTTTTAGAATTAATTTTCCATTAGATTGTTAGAAATTAATAAGCATGTTCGCATTAGGTTTTTATTAGTTTTAACACTTTGATGTTATTAGGTAAGGCGTAAAAATCAAAATGCTTGATTTACACTCTTATAATATTTCTTATTGACTAATTGATCAAAGTTACCTTTGATCAAATAGTCCATTCATTTTCCTGATTTTCCCCATCCAATCAAGTGATCTTGATCACTTGATAGGATTATCTCTCTAGACTAGCACTAAAATGGACTTAACTTAAGCTCTGAATTTCACGTTCAAGTCAGACAAGCTCAAGACTCAAGACAAGATTGGAGCACTGTTCAACACTTGTCAGTTATAATTCACATTGTGTGCCGCGAGCCTTAAGTAGTGGAGAAGGAATAAGAATGGAGAATTCCTACCCTCATTCTCAATATCTTTGGGTATGGGATGAATGACCTAGTGCCTAGAATATTCACCTTCACTCATAGAGTTTACTGCAATTTGAATCTAGTAACTACAAAGTCTTATTCCCGACATTCAACAGACAACACCTCAAACACTGCAACAACCTACATCAACAATATCATTCCTTGGTTAATTACCGATCCTCGGTTAAAAGACCATTTTCTCCCTTTCCTTTGTTAATCACCGATTCTTTGTTAAAAGACCGTCATCTTTCTTTTGGGTTAATCACTTCTTGGTTAAAATATCTTTCCTTGATTAATCACAGATTCTCGGTTAAAAGACCATATTCTCCTTTCCTTGGTTAATCACCGATTCTCGGTTAAAAGACCATTTTGTCCTTTTCCTTGGTTAATCACTGATTCTAGGTTAAAAGACCATCCTCTTTATTTTGGGTTAATCACCTATTTGGTAAAATACCCTTCCTTGGTCAATCACTGATTCTCAATTAAAAGACTATCAACCGCTTTCATTGGTTAATCACCGATTCTCTGTTAAAAGATCAACTCCTTTCCTTGGATAATCACTGATTCTCAGTTAAAATACCAACTTATCCTTATTAGGGTTAATCACCACTTCTTGGTTAACAAACTCTACAACTCCTTTATTTTGGTTGATCACCGATTCTCGGTTAAAACGCCACTTCCATTATCTCTTTTAACTCTATCTCTTCTTTGGTTTGAACATCATTATTATGACTCTTATTCCTTTTCTTGGTTATGGCACAACTTGTTTTGTTCCATCCTAAGTTCCATGAACTATAAAGCTTTGATTTCCTCATTGCACTACGAGAGTACGTAGGCAAAAAATTGCGAGATCCTAGCGAGCAACCTTCCTTCGTTTTCAACGTTATTTCGACATTCCTTCACTTTTCCCTTAGTTCTCTGAACTACGGAGCTCTGATTTTCTCACTGCACTATGAGGATACGTAGGCACGAGGGTCCCAATCCTCTACGAGTACACTAACTATATTTTTTTTTTACTTTTCGCGAATAACCTTTAGATAGTAATATCCATCCAAGCAAAGAACAATCAAAATGGTTTCCACCGAGTACGACGGATGCGAGGGATGTTAATACCTTCCCCTCGCATAACCAACTCCCTTACCTTTTTCTATTTCCCCTAGGTTTTATCGATATTTTCCCATTCCTTTTGGAATAAATAAATTTTGGTGGCGACTCTATTGTATTATCAAGCATGCGATGCGCTCGGGTATTTTTTGCGTTGTGACAGTTGGCGGCTATATTGTGGATTTTCTAAGTGCGTCGAGCCTAGTTTTTTTGTTCCTTGTTTGTTTAGGTGTTTATATTTAGGATTTACTTGCTTTATCTATATGTTGTTTATTGCATTCTTTTATAGCTTTAAATATTCATATTCTTTACTCTAGATATTTCTGTTATATTCTTTGTTGTTGGGTTGGGCTGATGTTACATGAGAGAAGCTCTACAACCGAGATTGAGTACATACACATGATAGACTCGTGGATAGTCGTACTGACCTGCGTTTTGTGCATTGGGTTGGCACAAGACCTACACTCAGACTAGATTCACTTGGAAGTACTTTTATCCTGCAAGAATTTGCTACGATGAGGTATTTTCATTTGGATCAATGACTATGGGAGACCTTATAGGGACTATATTTTGAATACTAGAACCTACCTGTGAGGGGGATATGGGTTTTTTTGTAGGAAACTAAGACCTTACATGCCTTGATTCTCATGTATACGTCAGGCTTTTGAACTTGCGTCGAGCAATATATGTAGACTATCTAAAAGATGTTGTATCTCTAACCTACATTATTTCATACTATTATTACATCATCGTCTATGTATCGAAATTTTGAACCTGAGTTATTGCGCCATCGTGTTTATATGCCATACTTTTGAGCGTGAATTATTGCATCATCGAACCATTGAATCAATGGATGCTGCATATTTTTTTTTGCATTCCATCCACATAAACAACATATGCATACATCCATGAATTTGCATTGACATCCAAACAAACCAGAAAAGGCTCACATTTCCCCTTCATCAGCCAAAAAGACGACAACTCCCCTGACATTGATATCTTATAAGAGAAAATAGATAGAACATAATGGCTAATATTGAACAAGAGAATGCTACCTACAAGGAGACTTTGTATCAATCCCAAGGTTAGATGAACAAATTCCAGGGTAAGGTAGATTCCATTCTTGAGTACCTTCATACTCAAAAGGAAGTTACTACTTTTGTTGCCATTGTAACTTCTACTTCTGTTGCAACTCCTATTGATACTATTGTGTAACCCGCCGCCAACTCCTGGGCTGATGTATCCACCTCAGATGTTTCCATAGTTTGCTTCTCCCCTAGTTCCTAGTCAAGCAACTCCATGAGCTGCTTAGCTTCCTACCTCTCAAGCCTATCTGCAAGGGCCAATTGTTAATTAGAATACTCCCAATGTAAACCAGAGCAAGCCAGCTGAATATCAATTGCTAGAGGAGTGTATCCGAGCCATTGAAGGATTTTCTGCCTATGGTATGGACGCCAAGGAGTTATGGTTGATGTCAAACGTCGTTTTGCCACAGAAGTTCAAGATTCTCGAGCTACCAAAGTACAAGGGGTTGAGTTTCCCGAGAAGGTACATTACCATGTACTGTACGAAGATGGCTTCCTATATTGGTAATAATGCGCTCCTCATCCATCGCTTCCAAGATAACATATCTAGGGAATCTCTTGATTGGTATATGGGACTTAAGCGTAGAAAAACTTGATCATGGATGGATTTGTCTAAAACATTCCTGAAGTAGTATAAATACAACCTGGACATGGCTCCCACAAGACTATAGTTGCAAAACCAGTCACAAAGGAGAAATAAAACTGTCAAAGAATATGCTCAAAGATGGTGTGAGGTTGCTTCATGAGTCTGACCCGTATTGTTAGATACTGAACTAGTTGACATCATTATAGGTACCATTCATGGTTTGTATTTTGAGAAGATGGTTAGTAGTTCATCCTCCAACTTTGCTAATGTTGTGACACTTTGAGAGCGAAGAGAACAGGAAAAATTGTTGACACTACTAATCAACAGGCAGTAGCCAAGAAACCACAAAACAACTTCACTAAGAAAAAATAATGGGAGACAAGGGTTATGGTGGAAAATGTCCACCCTCAATATCAAGTCCATATGGCTCCCATGCCATGTTATCCCTATCCTTATGTCACTACAACCCAGTATTAAGAACCATTGTTCCAATATCAACCACAACCTCAGTACCAACAACCTCCATAGGCTCTGGCTCCCCATAATCAACAACCTCGGCAAAATAATAGAAACCAAGGGCAGAGAAAATAGAGATAGAGGAAGCCCGAAAGAATAACTAACCCCGTTCCCATGCCATATGGTCAATTACTTCCTTAATTGCTCAATTTCTCATTGGTTCAATTAAGGAAGCTGGGACCTTCTCCAAATCCTTTTCCTCCAAGCTATGATGCAAATGCTAAGTATGAATTTCATTTAGGGACACTCGGGCATACGATCGAGAATTCCAGAGCCTTGAAGTGCAACATGCAAGACTTGATCGATTCAAAGTTTATCACATTGACGCCCAATGGCCCAAATGTGAACACCGTTCCCACGCCCCCACTGGCAAGCACATATAGAGTTCCATAACTAGTATAACTGGAAGCAAGGTTAGATATAAAGAGGAAACTCCTTGGGAATGATCATTCATCAAATTCTATAAAAGCATGAGGACACCAATCTGTAGTGGATAATAAGGTCGATCACGCCATCAATCATTTTGTCATTCAATTATTTTTATTTGTAATCTTTTTGTTTGTCAAGTGTTATTTACCTGTAAAACTCATTTGTTTCCAAATGATAATGATAATGAAATAAATATGCATGTTTTGAATATATCCATTTGTGTTCACTCATATTTTATTTGTCAATATCAAACTCTTATTTAAGCAAAATCAAAAAGAGAATGATGAAATAAAAAAACACGAGATTACTGAGTGTATGCTTTTGAATAAAACATTACCGACAGTGTAAGAT